TGTGATAACATCATCACTAGTGTCAGGTTAGAATATATATATATATATATATATATATATATATGTGTGTGTGTGTGTGTGTGAGAGAGAGAGAGAGAGAGAGTCTGTATGTGTGTGTATGTGTGTGTGTGTGAGTCTGTGTGTATGTGTGAGTGTGTATGCATATATATATGTCTCAGTACTGTTTTCTAATATAGTACATATGGATAAGTATAACTGTCATAAGCAAGAGCCCTTTAGGATCCTTAATATTTTTAGGAATATGAAAGAGCCTGGTGTAGTGGGGCAAGGCCTTTATTCCTAGCATGCAGGAGACAGAGGCACATGTCCCAAACCAGCCAAGGCTATGGGGACGCCCTATCTCAAAAATAGGGAAAGAAAAATATAAGTGAGTTTAGACTACAGAACAGAACTACTTTTGCTCAGTTACACTCAGAGCCCTGCCAGCACCTCTATGCACCCTCCCTCCACCCACAGCCCTAGACTTCCATCTGACTGAGGAAAACTGACTTGGAACACATCTAAAAATCCTACAACACCTTCCAGCCTTTCTCAAAACATTGCCCATCAGCTGACTGGAAATCCTTTACAAAGTGTTTTTACCAAGTTCACAATCTCACTTGACTCTCAGTGCAACTGCAGAGCATAGTGCAACTATTTTGCTGTACAGATAAGGCAACTCGGCCTCAGGAAGATTAAGCCACCTGCCCGATGTGGCTTACACCTCTGGTTACCTTAAAACAAGGACTATGCCAAGGACAGGAGACAAAACTGTTCCAACTAGCCAGAAAAACAAGAGCATCTCACAAAACAAGTGTGATGAAGAAACATGAAAAGTACTTACGCAACTTCCAGGCAGTCTTGGTGACCACAGGGGTGGCCATGCTTCAGGGGGTGGCACCCAAGACCCCACCCACAAAATGGATTGTGCTTTCCCTGTGGGGTGGGGGGTGGATCCCCCCCAGATCCGACAATCAAGTTGGCAGGGAGTTCCCACACATCCAGGCAGAGAGTCCTCCTCTCCTGGCCCAGGACTGCCTGGTGGTTTAGATCATCCGCTACCAAGCAGCAGCCTGTACACATAGGTCAGGATCCCAGATCATGGAATGTCAGGCTTGGGCCATCTCAGCTCAACACTGGGCTAGAATACAAGCAGAGGTGATGGTGTGTTAGCAAGTACTTGAGATGCGTTGCAGCTCCCTGGGTCACCAAGGCCACTTGATACAGGCCCACCAAAGTCCCCCAGGGTCTGGAGCTGCAATGCACACTGGGCCTGCAAACCTTAGCAGGAGCACCTCTGTGACTTAGAACCTAAAGATAAAAGACCTCTAAGTAGCTGGGCATGGTGGTGCTAGCCTTTAACCCCAGCACCCAGGAGTACAGGCAGGGGCAGGTAAATCTTTGTCAATTAGAAAAGGCCTAAAGCAGGGCTCCAGGATGCTGGCTGTCTTAAGTGTCAGCAACTGCAGTGGGGCACAGAGGACAACGTGTCTGCAGTTCACACAGATTTGTACCTCATGTATTGGATGGGCCATTGGAGTCTGAGGCTATGTTCAGGGCCCCATGAAAGGCCCGTGCATGCAACACACACACACACACACAGAGTGTGACAATGCGTGAGAGTGTGAAAGTGTGTGAGTGAAGAGACTGACAGTGAAGGCCTTCTGGGATGGAGTGATTTTCGAGAGGATTCTGAGGGTCCAATCCTCTAGCTCTCTCCTTCCCCAGCTCCAGGTGAGGGAACCACGCCTATCTCTTGTTATTCTCAAGGACATAGCTAGAAATTGGGTCTCATGTCCAGGCGTGAGCTGGAATGACTCCTCAATTCTAAAAGGCCACAGCATGGACGGAGCCCTCCACAGTCACGGCTCTTCAACTCTCACTACACTCTCTTTCTCCTGTCACCTGTGCTCCCATTCCCAAACATCTTGAGTTCTCTAAGTTGGCCACTCTCGCCAGACCCTCTTCACTCCCCTTTCCCTGCTGCTATCGGAGTCCCCCATTCATTCGCTTCCCTGTTTCTGGAGCTCAAACTCAATACGGTCCTCTGCACACCCTCAGCTCTGCTTCCGGCCCACTCGCTTTCCCTCTCCGGCCTCCACACCCGTCCCGCTCGCTCATCCAAAAATCTGCTACTGGTCTCAGCCTCGCCTGACCCTCCGTCCCTCTGTCTTGAGGGGCATTGGCTCAGCCTTCCCTGGCCCAGAGTCCTCTGCCGGCGACGCGATTGTCCCCTCCAGACTCGGCAAAGACCAGGGCCATATTCCCCTTGCCTCCAAGATCCCGAGGGCCACTCTACCTGCAGCTGTAGCTCTGGAGGCCAAGGCTTCCCTTCAGGCGCGACCCCCACTTGCCTCCATCGTCTGCCCTGATTGGTCGCTGCTTGACAACCGACCCTCACAACAAAACCTCCGTATAGAGTCCCACCCACTTCACTTCTTACACCAATCAGTCGCCACGGATGCTCCGCCTTCCTCTGAGATTGACCAATAGAAGCAAGCGCTTCTGCCGATTTGCGTAGCTACCTGCCTCCCTTTCCCGACTCGGGCTAATCACGAGAAAGAAGCGTTTACAGGCCGCCCTCGGGTCTTGAAAGAACCATTGCGGGCTTCTGTGCCCTTAGTCCCGTCCCTACCAGGGCTAGCTTTTTCCGCCCTTTTCCGTCACTTCCTGGAACCCGGTTACGTTTGAAAAAATCCGCGAGCCACGCGCAATGGCGGCTGCACCAATCACTTCAGCAACATCCCTAGCTCAACCAGTCAACGTCAGTATTATTGAAGAACCAATTCCAAGACAACCAATAGGAAGGGAACTTCTGGAGCAGCGTGAAGTCATAGGTCTTCCAGGTTGGAACAGGGCCGCCTGGACCGCGCCCTCAGGCTGTGGGTGTTGCCCGCGTGGTCTGAGTTGGGTCCTGCCTGGATCCACCGACCACCCTGAGATCCTTCATGGAGGTCTCGAGAGAAACAGACCTTGACTGCAGGTGGGGTCGGTGTCCAACCCAGGAGTGCGTGGCTGCTCGCTGGCGGAAACCGCAGAACAAGGGAACCGGAGAAAGGCAGATGGTGTGTGGTTCGGCCAGCGTGCTGAGATCCGGAGGGGGAAAGGCTATATATAACCCACCGTGAGCCGGGGGCCCTCACTGAGGAGAAACTCGCCTCTCACCGGGGCCGGAGCCTCTGGCGTTCTGCTCCACACCGCCAAAAGCGGTAGGATTCCTTATTTGTAGATGAGGAAACCGACGCTGTGGTGAAAGGACCAAACTTCTGGAAGAACTGCTCCAGAATTTGAACCTTTAGTAAAGTCTAGGCATGAGAAGTTCCTACTAAATAAAAAAACCTCTGCTGGGACAAGAGACACCCACCAGTCTTAAGTACTTCGGGAAGTCGGCCCTGGAGTAGAATTTGGTGATTACTAAGAGACCTGGATTCGGAGAATAACATTCAATCAAACCTTTTTAGCTTGCGGTTCTTATCAACTTTTTATTATTAAAAAAAAAAAGTCGAATTCTTGATTTTGACACATTTTACCTTATCTGCGTTGTCTATGCACAAATATTTGACCGTTACCTATCCCAAGACATTTCAATCATGATAACACTGAGCATGAAGTCCTTTAAGGGTCCTTAGTCACATGACCAATGTCACACTGCCCCTAAAATAACTTAATTCTCTAACATGCAGAATGTTAAAATGACCTTAATCATCCCCAATACACATAATAACTTCCAAGTAGGAACAAGACTGAGAATGTAGCTCAGTGGTAGAGAGCTTTGACTAGTATGCAGGAGCCACTAAATTCAATCCACAGCACTGAAAATAAAATCCAGAAGCAAGAGAAATGGCTCAGTCTTAAGAGCAATTGAAGTGCCAAGAATGAGGACCTGAGTTCGAATCCTCAGCACACAAGTAAATCTGGGCATGGCTGCATGTGTAACACCAGTGCTGTGAGGAGCAGAGACCATGAGGTCATCCTAACTCCAGGTTCAGTGACAGACCCTAACTCAAAGAAATAAGGCAAAGAATGACATAGCAGAATGCATAGTGATAGTGTAAGACTTTTGTACACACACACACACACACACACACACACACACACACACAGTGTGGGGGTGTATCTTAACTAAGAACCAGACAAGATTTGACATACTTGGCCTTTTCAAGTTCATCCTATTTCTGTCTGCTTTTATCTTCCCCCCACCCCCACCCCATCTCCTTTTCTTTCCCCTGTCTGTACTAGGCTCTTACTATGGTAGATCAGGCTGGCCTTGAACTGGTAGAAATTAGGATCTGGGATTAAAGATGTGCCACCACATGTAACTTGAGCCCCTGGTTTTAACCACGGGTTAGGAACTTTGCATTGAAGCCTGGTGGGTTCACCTTTGGAAGAAGACAATGACTACCCCTTCACCAGAATTCATCAGCTGTTCAACAGGGAGGGACAGAGCCCCCATGAGCCCCACCCTGATTGCCTATTGACAGGCCCAGGCTTGTACAGACAACCACAGCTGCTTTGAGATCATTTGCAATGGCTGTGTCAGGCCCTGGAGATTATAGGCCAGGTTTTCTCTGCTTCATTTTTTTTTTTTTAAGACAGAGTCTCCTGTAGCCCAGGCTGTTCTCAAATTCTCTATATAGCCAAGGCAGATCTTGAACCCAGATCCTTCTGTCTCTGCCTCCTGCTGGGATTATATGCATACACTATTCTACCCAGCTTTCTCTAATCTTTAACACATATTTCAGGAAACATTGCCATCCCCATTTCACAGGTGGTAAATGGAAGAGGAACTTGGCTTCGGTCCCTTGCCACCCAGGACTGGGGTGTGTTCCTTGGCCTGGCCATTCCCTCTTTATGAGCCGATTCACCATCACCACATTGAGCTCTAAACAGATGGCTGTGGATGTGGGGCTGTCTGGAGACGTAAATACTTGATATTCCACCAGAGAAGACGACAGAGAAGGGCAGGGTGGAGGAGACTGGAACTTACAAGTACCAAAGTATAAATAGCAAATACGAAGTGTGTTTATTTGAGGGAGACTGAGGGACAGGGAGGTAGTGTGGCAGTGAGGCCGGCGTGGGATCACAGTGCCTGGGGAGAAGGGAGGGACTCCATTCTCTGGCAGTTTTTGCCATGGTCTGTCTCATGAGGGGCATCAAACAAAGACTTTCACAAAGTCTACCAAGCGTGGGTCCTTGTAGAGCTTTTCCTCCAGCGCCAGGTACTTCAGTGGAGCCAGTTCTTTGTGCCTGAGCAGAGGGAAGAAGGAGAAGGTGAGGGATAGCCAAGCTATCAGTGTGCTCCCAGGAGTCCTCCTGGCTCTGCCTCTTACCGATTGAGCCGCTGTTCCAAGATGCGGATTCGGAACATGGCCTGAGAACAGTAGCTCAGGTACAGGTCTTCATCCTCGGGTGACAGGGTTACCTGGTTCTCCTGGTACCATTGCTGCTTCTTCTGCAATTCCTGAGTCTCCTGGGGACATAGGGAGATGAGCAGAGGGAAGATGTGAACGGATTCTCAGCTAGTGTGTAGGCCCATAGATTACCTACCAGGCAGCCCCAAGAGGATTACACCCCCATTCCCACCTCCCAAGGAAAGGGGCAGAGTTATAGGATTACAAAATATCTTGGGTGGGAACTACCCAAGTCATGATTCAAAGGACAGCAGGTACATGAAATCAGAACAGGGCCAAAACAGACAGACAGGGCCAGGGGTGTGACTCAGTGCATGGCCCTGGGCTCCACCCCTAGCACCTCACATACAAAATCAAAACAGCTGGGTGTGGTGGTGTGCACCTTTAGTCCTGGTACTCATTAGGTAGAGGCACATGGCTCTCTGTGGGTTTAAGGCCTGTCTGCACTACATTGCAAGTTCCAGGCTAGCTGGGGCTACAGAATGCAACACTGTCTCAAAAAACAAAACAAAACAAAAACAAACAAAAATAAACAGGGGCACTGACTGTTCTCCAGACGACTGGGGTTCAATTCCCGAAACTCACATGGAGGCTCACAGTCATCTGAAACTCCAGTCCCAGGGGATCTGATGCCCTCTTCGGGCCTCTGAGGGCACTAGGTGTACACATGGTGTACGTACACTTATGCAGACAAAACACACACACACACACACAAAAAAAAAAAAACAAAAAAAACAAAAAAAACAAAAAAACAAAAAACAGCTTCGTGATCTAGACAAGTGGCTGACGTGTTCAGAGTTCCCAGTAGCTCATCTCCAAAAATAAGAATTATTGTATCCAGTTCCACCCAGCTCTGCTCTGTGCACTCTATGAAGACAGAGACACTGCGTGGTGACCACATGGTAGGCACCTCACCTATCTCACAGAAATGGGCCAAAGACTAGGTGCTGTTAGAATTCACCAGCCATCAGTTCATCTACAAAACCACTCACCCATTCCTTTACCCCTTGCCTGCCTATCCATCTACCATCCGCCCACTCATTCATCAGTCCACGAACCTACTCACCACCCATCCATTCACCCTTCCATAATATCCCACCTCTAATCCTCACCCACACAGCCAACTGCACCCGCTTATCCACTCCATCCATTTACCCATCTACCTGCCTGTCCATGAATATTCACCTCCCCACTCATCCATCCAATAGTGAAGTGGGGAGAAGAAATCGGGTATTTGGGGGCCCCAGTCACAGAATACTCATCTACCCATCTGTCTCATACATCTGTGAAGCACTGAGCAAAGGCTTCAGGACCCATTTTCCGGCTACGGATGGTGAGGTCACCTCCCCTGCCTTGGGCCCTGGCCACACCTTCTCAAAGCGGGCCTGGATGAGGTTAGCCTTGTCGATGAGGCGCTGCTTGAAGTCGCTGAGGCACTCATCCTTGAGGCGCACGGCCTGCCAGCGTGTTAGCTTCTCGCCTGGAGGGAGTTGTGCCAGGAATGGTGCCAGGTAGTCCAGCTGGGACTCCACCTGCCGCATGTGCTCCTCATGCAAGACACGTTCCTATGGGGCAGGGAATCAGCTGAAAGAGCAGGGTATGCAGGGGGTCTCCCGGGAAGCCGAGTCCATGGTGCAACAGCGCAAAGCCAGGTCCCAACATAGGCTTCTTGTGAGACCTAAGTTCCTAAGGATCACCGCTTGACCCATGTTTAAGGGTGACATGTAGTTCCTGTTTCTGACATGAATTCATCTCTCAATCTGAGCCTCAGTTTCCGCATCTGAAAACAGACCAGCTTAGGTCTGGAAAGCACATAGCCTGGGCCTGACAGTCCACAGCAGGTACTTAGAGTGAATGATGCTAAACGCCCATCTTTTTTCTCCTTGGCCCATAAGGCCCTCCATGGGGCACACATGAGCCAGAGAAACTGGAGACGTGGGCTGTTGCCCTTCCCTATGGATCCAAAACCAAACCAAAGCCCAGCCTTGCCAGGCCAACTGCAAACTACTTTAGAGATCGGCACCGCTTAGTGAAGAGGATTTAGAAGCAAGCCTGGGACCCCAAATGGTCTCCCCCAACCCCCCCGCCGCCGGGGAAGAGGGTAAAGTCAAAGCCCTGTGTTGCTGAGGTCTGGTGCTAAACTTGTGCCTGAGTCAGTTGACTAGACTCCCAGCTCAGCTCACAGCCTCAGTGGAAGCCCTGGCAGAGGCAGACATGTAGTTTTCACTCTTTCTCCGTGCAAGGCAGGCTTTGGTTTGGCCACAGTCCTGGATCCTAAGTGCTCTTTGGAGTGACCCATCAACACAGTCAGCATGGCACGTGACAGTCAACAAGAATACTCACCTGACATCACCAGTGATATCATCCCTTACAAAAAGGGCTCTCATGCTCTCCCTATCCTGGAGGTTGGGCTCCAGGGAAGGAGACCCGAGGAAAGCAAGGAGGCTCACCATGGCCTCCCGATACTCTTTGCTCTTCTCATTGCGCTTGGTGTCATAGATGGAGATGGTCAGCATATGTGCGTCATCCTCCTCTTCCCTCAGCTTCAGGATCTCCAGCACCTTGATGGCATAAAATGGAGGATAGGCACATCTAAGACCCTCCCTCCCTCTCTGCCACATCCCCCTCTCTGGGAGGACCTTACCTCCAGCTCTGACTCCCAGGCTTGATGTCGGGACAGCTTTTCTTCATTCTTCAGGTGAATCATGGTCTCATACTGGTAGAGAAGTTTCTTGGTGTGCTCCATTGGCTCCACCTGGGACCAGAACCACCACAGTGACGGAGAGGCTGCAACAGTTGGTCGGGTCTAGGGCCTCCAGGTTTAAATCTACTACCTTTTTCAAGCAAGGTGATTAACCTCTCCAGACCTCAGCATCCTTGTCTACAGAGACATAGCAGTAACAAAGAAGGGCTGAGGGCTGTGCCAGAGAGTGCTAACTAGAATAGGAAAAGTGAGACCTTCTAGGAGATGAGAGTATCCTGCCACCTCCAGGATGGGTCCCTGGGATCTGGGGTCTAGATTCCCCAGGTACAAGCAGGGACCATGAGGAAGTCTCAACCTGCAGGGTTCTCATTATGATGGAAATGGGATGATTTTCAGAGGAACTGCAAGGGAAAGGTCCTCAGATGGGACAGATAGGGGTTTCCCGGTGGAGCCTTAAAGGGGGAGAGGAGGGAGGAATCCTGGGGTTTCCCGGTTGCCAGGGGAAGCCACAGGCACAGTTTGCAGAGAGTGCCCCCACCATCCCCTGCTCCGTGTCGTCACCAACCCACCTCGAAGCTGATACACATGTCGGGTGTCATTATGATCTTGTTGCCTTTGCTGTCCACCTCTGTGCGCCGCAGGAACTCACGCTTGGATGAAGTGATGTAGTCGTCGCGGCAGTGGTAGCGAAGCTGAATGCGCTCCTCTACGATCAGAAATACTCGCTCTGCCACGTCCTCATCTGCAGGCTTCGCTGGATTTCGGAGGAACCGCTCTGTGATTTTCTGTGTGGCCAGAACATGCAGAGGAAGGAGGGAGATTTCTGTGCATGCTCCGTGGGCAGGAGCAAAGGACTCTCCCGGTCCAGGGGTCGGGGGTGGGGGTTGGTTATCAGCCTCTTCTAGCCAGACTATGGATTCTGGGACTCCTGTGCGTTCTCCGGGCCCAGCCACATCACAGTCTCACATGGTGTTCTTCAATTTCCTCCTCCACAAGACTCTGCTGGCCTGCTCCTAGAGATGGGGAAGCTCCAGGAAGCCTATCCCATTACCAGACATCTCTTGCTATGGAAACGAGCTCCTTCGGTGCGGGGCCAGAAAGCTCAGTGGCATGGAACTTTCTAGAAAACAGGGGTTCTAACCTTCACCTCAGTTCTCAATAAAATTAGAAAAACAAATAAACAATGTGTGTGCCTTGGTGTGTACACACTCACTTGTGTGGTGGCCCGAGATTGACATTGTCTGTCTCAATTTACATTTCCAAATTGCATTTCTCGAGACCTGGACTCACCTTAACCCAGAACTCACTGGGTTGCCTTGCCTGGCTGGCCAACAAACCTGGTGTTTGCCTCCCTGGTGCTGGGATTTCAGATGGGTGTCATGGGGCTTAGATGTTTTCATGGGTGCTGAGAATCAAACTCGGGTCCTCATGCTTTATTGAGCGAGCTATCCCTCGGCCCTGAATTCACTGAGATAGGGCCTTACGTGGCTCAGTCTGGCCTTGGAGTCACTATGTAGCTGAGGGTTGCCTTGAATTCTTGATCCTTTAGCCACCACCTCTCAAGTGCTGGGATTATTTGTCCAACTAAGACTAAACCTACTAGTCCATAGTAATATTGGAGAGAAGTCATTCTGAGATACTTTTACATTTCTCTAGTTTCTCATATTTCCAGATGTCTGGTCGTAAGTGTGTATTTGCTCATTACAATAAGGAAAAAGAGCTTCTTTGTCTAGTGGCTGGGGACACAGCTTAGCCCTAGCAAGCCCAGGGGTCTGCATTTGTTAAAGTGCTTGTTTTACATTTAGAACCCTGGCAAACTCAAGGCCTTGGTACCATCCCAGAACTAGGGCTTCCCCCATCCTGTCGACCCTTTATCTCCCAGAGCAGGTGGGCAGCCAGACCCCAGCCCAAGAATGCTCTCACCACCATGGGCCTCGGGTTGGACTCTGCACTGTTCTGGGTGAGCTTCTTGACTCTAGGTCCAAAATTGATGTGGCGATAGGAGAGGAAGTCTGAGCGCCCCTGATAGTACTCTGTCATTGTCAGGGGTGTCTCCTCCCGCTTTATCAGGCCATCCACACGGATCTTTTCATAGAACTCCATGACTCGATCCATCTCAGGCAGCATAGACTTGTAAGAGTGCACTGGGTCGGGGGGGGGGGGGGGGGGGGGGGGGGGCGGCGTGGCGGGGGGGGGGGGGGGAGGGGGAGCTCCTCAGTACACATGAGCATTAGCTATGTACCCAATCCCCACTTTCTGGATATGGTTACACCCAATTCTTTATTTCTATAAACAGCTCCATGATGAACATCTATGACATGCACTTATGGTTCTTGCTCAGTTTTTGCTAACAACAAATTCTCAGCAGAGGAATTACTGGGTCAGAACGTGTGCACATTTTAAGGCCATTGTTGTTAGAGACAGAACACAGGGCCTCAGGAATGTTAAGCATGCCTTCTACCCCTGAGCTACATCCCAAATGAGCACATTTAGCTCCGTTATTCTTAAGAAAGGAGTGGCCTGCCAATATCAATAGGGAGTGACTTTCTGCCTCTTTCAATCCCTGTCACACCCAGTTAAAACCATTTGCTCACACAAAAGTAGTGGCATGGTCCTTTGTTGGTTTAATCTTGAAATTTTCAACTCCCAAATGCAGTTGATAAGTTTCTATGTGTTTGCTGGCCCCAGCTTTTTCTCTGGTGAAGTCTGTGGTAGGATATGGGTCTTAGAAGGTGTACTCTTTCTTCCCAACCTCATAGACTCCTAGCCACAGTCACACAGTGGACACTCTGCCCTCTGCATTTGCCCTGTCAGTGGTGTTTAGTTGGCTTTATTGCCCAATGTTCTTAGATTCTTTACATGTGGCTCACACCATGCACCCTCTGGTGGAGATTCCTGCTTGATCCTAGCCACAGAACAGCATGTGTCCCCGGCTTTGACTTTCCTGGAGAGCTATTGGCCAATGTCTTCCTTTTCTGAGCTTCCTTGGTTGTCTGCACACCTCACTATCAGAGGCAGAAGTAGTGTCTGTGTTTGCCACCCAGGAACCTTGTTGATACCTGGGGCTGGTTCTTCCCATCATATATATATATATATATATATATATATATATATATATGCCCCCCCCCGCCCCCGCTCCCCATCCTCTCTTCCCAGAAGTAACATACTACAAAAAAGATCTAGATTCAGAATCAAGTCTGTGAACGTGCAGGCCTGTGATCTTGTTTATGTGTTTCAGCTCCAGCGTGTCCTCTCGGTTCTGGTACCACTCCTTTATCTCCAGAACCTTTGTACCTGTAGGTAACCAAAGATGGTTGCTGCAGGCAGACCAGCTCCTCTGACCTCTGTCCCACAGACATCAAGAAAGTAGAAGTAGTATGTCCAGAGTCACCTAGTACATTTGGTTGTCCCCCATTCTGGCCCCCAAGGTGTCTTACACTGTAGGTCTTCATAGACGGTGAGGCGGCACACCAGGCCATTGTTGTTGAGGTATGGGGCCCACTTCTCCAGCTGTGCCCTCTTGTACCGTATCACTTTCTTTCCATTGGGGCAACGGGTCTCAAACTCTGTGAATGCAGAGGGGACTGGGGTCTCTCCTTCCACTCTTCCTAGCCATTCATTCATTTTCTGCATCACTTATAAAGTGCCTCCAGGACCAGAAACAGCCCCAGGGAGGAAGAAAATAGCCACTAGTGCTGTCTTAAACTCTTCCCAAGGCATCCACACCAGAATCCCAGTGCCACCCAAGAATCATACCTGTGACCCAGCCACCCACAGCCGTGGCAGGCTATCACCAGTGAGAACACTATGCTGGGATGACTTCTGACCCTTTGAAATCCAGCTCCAGTGGTACTTACTTCTTGAGCTGTGATGAGTGCCCCCACCCCAGGGTCCATGACCTCTTCTCCAGCACTTGTTACTGGCTGGAACAGCCTGCACTCTTCTTCTGGGTCTAAGTATTCCCAGATGGGCATATGTAGACAAGGAGCAAAAGGTAACCCACTCTCCTGCCTTCTTTGCCCTTGCCTCCTGGAGCCTGACCCCCTTACATCATCTGCTACAGGTCTTGCCTATGGCCTCCTCGAACAGGGAATTTGAAGGAAGGAAAGAGGCCATGTTCCAGACCTTGTTAGTCATGATGTTAACAATCCAGTTGTGTGCCAGATGGTGTCAGGCCCTGGGCACAGAGCTGGTGGGGTGTTAAAGAGGGGTGGAAAGAAAGGCTCAGTAGGCCCCTATGGCCTCTCTCCTTAGCTATGGGTACAGAACTCCCTGGGGGCTAGGAAGTGGTGAAGGACAGAGACCGTCTGGGGTGATCTCAATCTGGGCGACCCATGAAGGTGGCATGTCGAAGCTCTTATCCTCTTCTTCTTTGCCCTGTGAGGAGAGGAGGTGGATGCTGGCCAGGGCCCTGGAGCAGAGGCCTTGACACAGCTCTGTCCCTTTCCCCAGACCCAGGGTTAATAAGGGGGCTGTCAGTTTCCCCCAGGATCCAGGAATCAGGAGCACCATCAGGATGGGGAGGAAGAGGAGTCAGCTGGGGCAGACCCCATCCCCTACTTGCCTGGTCTAAGATGATAATGCCTGCTCTCATACTCTGCCCTTCCAGCCAAACCACCTGAGGCCATGATGGCTACTCAGGAGATCCCAAGTCAGACATAGCCATACCTTTAACTATACCTAATACCAGGTAAGGAGGGCTGGGGAAATCCTCTAAGCCTTGGTTTCCTTAGCTGTTACCTGGGAAGACTAAAGGATATCATGAACATGGCTTGAGACTCTGTCTGGCTGTCCATCCCCAGTCTGTGAAGTAAGGCCTGGTCTAGACAAATGACCCTCAAATTAGTCTCATGATATTCCATGTGTACACTTCCTGCCACAAACAACGTTCAGACCTTGGACACTTGCTCATCTAATTGTGACTTCTTTCAGGAATACACAAGGTGAGCCGTCAGCAAGGGGCATTGGCAGAACTTTTTGAGAAAGCCCAGAAATCCCAGGGCCAGGTCTGGTCCCATAGCTGAGTGCTGACTCTCAGGCTGTATCATCTGTCTATGTTGGAGGTAACAAGGACTCTCTCACTCTAGGGATGTGACAAGGCTTCCAACTCAGGATTGCATGCGCTGCACGCTGCTAATCCATGCTCACAGCCAGCAGGGGGCGCCAGTGCTCAGAAATGAGGAGTTGGAGAACAGGGTGACTCAGTCATTCTCAGGCAGCTCCCAGAGCTGAATCACCACTACTGAGAACCCAGATATGCCACACTGTTTAGGTTCTGCTCCCAGCTCTCTCACTTCCTGGGTGGGTCCTTTGGTGACTCATTTTGCCTGCTGTCTGTAAGTTCTCAGTTTCCCAGGTGGCGATTTAAATGAGTGAGTTCAGACTCCACACCAAGCAGAGCCTGTCTCCACACCAATATCACCTGTTGTTAAAACCATCACTCAGCCTCCCTCTAAAATCACACACCAAACCTTCACCCCTAGTATCTTGGAAGTAAAGGTCTTTAGGGAAGAGGCAATGAAGTCTAAATATGGTCTTTAGGTAACCTTACAATATGCTAAGTGTTCTTATGAGACAAGGGAGTTAGGACACAGACTCGTAGAGACACAGCATGAATGGCCATCAGCAAACCCAGAGGCTCTCAGAAGAAAACAGCCCGGTCAGCACCTTGACCCTGAAATTCCAGCCTCCAGTAGTGTGGGACTCCCAGTTTGTAACACTTAGTTATGGCAATGCTAGATGACTAAAACACCTGTTACTTGGCCTATGGATACCAAAGAGACTATAACCCTCACCTACTTTTACACATAAGGAGGAATGGAAGATCCCAAAGCAGGGGAATTTGACTAAGACCCCTGGGCTCCTAGTCTCTGATTTCTCACTCAAGACATCATGCAGGAAGCACCCCTCCTCTCTCCTCCCACACATATCCCTTGTTGGGAGATGACAGAAGGAAGGCTGGTGAGGGGATCCCCCGGGCCCATGATCTCTACAAGACCTAGTAGGAAGGACCTAGGAAGGAAAGGCCTTGATAGAAAGTCACAATGGTGACTAAGGAGGAGCTAGCAGAGTGGCCAGCCCTGGGCTCCCACTCCAAAAAGATACGCTTTCTAAGGATCAGCCCAACCATGAATAACAGGACTCAGATGGGAAAGGCTGAATTCAGGCACTGTCACTCTTTAACCCACTGGGAAGTCCTAGGCTGGCCACTGGACATGCCTGGGCCTCTGTTTACCCATCTGTAAAATGAAGGCTCAGTAAAGGCTCCTCTTCTTTGAGGAGTGTATGCTACATCTGGACTCCACACACATGCATGTGTTTTCAGGGGTGTCTTTCAGGTCAGGCTGCCTGATGCAGAACAGGTGAAGTCCCTCAACCCACCCTCAGGCCACCAGACTCACCAGATTGTCTATGTCATCATCATCATCCAGCACATCCTCATCCTCTTCAGTCAAAGACAGGTGAGGCTTATCGGTCCCCAAGAGCATATACTCCCATCTCACAGGGTCTCCCAGGTCAAAGACCAATTCCTGATAGAAAAGAAACCAACTGAAGGCATCCCCTGGATCCATGCCTGGGCCTGCTCCTAGGACGTGGAAATGACTGTTCCCAGAGGTTTGCAAGGACTGTGCAGAATATCAGCTTTGCTCAATCTCTAAGAGTCCAGCCACATTTCTTCATCTCCCATCCCATCATCCCATCTCCCCAGGAAAAAATCCTACAGCCAGTCCAGAGGAGACTCATCAGTGCCCTCTGCTGGGGCGTTGTATGAGAGCATTGTATGCCACTATGTGGCCTTTCTGAGCTGGCAAACTATTAGGAAATGACTACTTGTGGGGAAGAAATGTTTAAATGTGGATTGGCATGACGGAATTATGGAGGAGAGCGCAGTCATGGGAGTGATATGTGACTAACTCATCTGGTGGGGTCATTTTGCATGGAAAAGCAGCAATTCTGGGAGGGCAAGTGGTGTGTTCAACTCCTCCTTGAAGCATGTGCTGTAGGGCAGGCCCATAACTGGCCTAGGAACAAACAGCAATTGATAGAGACCAGGTCTCCACCTCCAGGTACTTCCTGTCCAGTGGAAGGGAAAAACAACAAGCCAACTGACTTGACCTCAGGCCTCAGGCCTCCAAGTCCTGTGCTCTGATGTTATTCCCAGTGTCCCCCATTACTGACTGGTTGGAACCCTGTTGCAATGTGCTGGTTCAAGAGATGGTTGTGTTCCCTTGGAAGACAAGCAGGGTAGACATGCTTCTATTAGGTGGCCTGTAACTCTGTGTCTGTGAGTGGAAGTTCAATTCACCTGTCTCTGCATCCTGCCTAACTCATCTGACCTCAGGGTCTCTCAGCCTTTATTTCCTGCACAGAGAGAAGACACTGAGAGGCACTTATAGGTCCTGGGCATTTGATGAATGTTACCTCCTGTGACAGATAAGGAAACTGACACCCAGATCAATGCCATTTATCCCTCACTATACAGACGATGCAGAGTCAAAACTGCCTTCCTCAGGACCAGGCTCACAATGTATGCATGCATGCTCAGTGTCCCAGAAGGATAATGGCCCTTCAGAGATGCCTGTAGTCCTTCAGCCCCTCCTCTAGCCTGCGGGTCCTCATCTTGTCCTTTGAGCCTCCACCACTACCTCCAGTGCACACCACATCAGTGCCATGGACAGGAAGGACATTTGTGGCAGGTGGAACTGAGGCGAGGGAGCCAGCACTGAATCACCAGATAAGGGCATGCAAGAAGAGACTATGACACGAGCCAGCATGGACACTGCTAAAAGAGCGCTGAGACTTTGTTCCCTCTGAGAACCTCGGCTATAAAGGAAGATGCTATTTCAAAAACAAACAACAAGAACCATAATACTTAAGAAGCTGTACTGAGGGTGTAACTCAGTGGCAGAGGGCTCATCTAGCAGGTGTGAGGACAGGTTCCATCTACAACTGAGGGGGGAAAAAATGAAAAGAGGCCAGGATTCATGAAAAGAGAAGCCCGAACGGTGTTCCTGGTTTGTGATTTTTCTCCAGGTAGGGGTCCAAAGCAGTTAAGAGACTGACAAGAGCTTCTGGAAGGGGTGGGATGTAGCTCAGTTGCTAGAACGCTTGCCTAACATGCATAAGGCCCCAGGAGCCCTGCTCAGACCCACATAAACTAGGCACAGTGGCACATGGCTGTAATCCTAATTTGGAAGGAGGAGGCAAGAAGAGCTGATGTTCTGCAGTCCAAGGTTATCCCTGATTATGTAGTAAGTTCAAGGCTAGCTTGGGCTGCCTGAGACTTTATAAAAAAAAGAAAAAATGAGGAGGAGGAAGCAGCTTTCAGTTTGTTCACAGCACTAAGGGGCAGAAATCAGAACGTAGAGTCCTCCAAAGGGAAAAAGGTGACAGGTCCCCCAGACTCTGCTTTGGGACTCTGCTGAGCCACATCATGGGAGTAAAGATAACAGAAAGGCTCAGTTAAAGACATCCAGGATTGCCAGATGTCCTTGTTTCCCACCAGAATCTCATCCAACATCTCTGCAGGAAGATTATGACATCTAGGCACTCAACCATCTCCAAAAAAGTTTTGTGTGTGGTTTTTAGTAACATATGCACACATGCACATATGGAACATTCAAATATGTACTTGCAAAGGAAAAATTAGTTTTCTCCAAAGGAGTCTCACTGGGTATGCAAACTACACTTAGTTTGCCCAGTGGTAGAAGGTCAATACAGAATGAACTCAACAGTATTTTTATAGGAGTTTTTGGTCTCAGAATGCTTTGTCTATTTTGTTTTGTATTTGCTTGTTTGTTTTTAACATTACAGGTCTTTTGCTTATATATTACAGTTTCTGATTTTGTGTTTTTATAGGATCTCTGCATATGTGAATTGTGTGTGTATGTATCTGTATGTATGTCTTGTGCTTTTTCTTTGGCTCTTTTTTCTGTTTGTTTTGTCCTGCTCTGCTTTGTTTTTTATTTTATCTCATCTTTTTCCCCCTTGTTATTAGCATAATTCTTTTAGATGCTCCTTTATTCAATGAGAAAGAAGCATGTGGATGTAGATGGGTGGGGAGGTAGAAAGGATCTGGGAGACGTTGGGGGAAAAACCATGGTCAGAATATATCGTATGAGAAAATTTTATTTATTTATCTTTGAGATAGGGTCTTTCTGTGTAGTCCTGTTTGTCCTTGAACTCACACTGCAGACCAGGCTAGCTTCCAACTCACAGAGATCCTCCTGCCTCTGCCTCCTGAGTGCTAGGATTAAAGGTGTGCACCACCATGCCCAGCTTAAAAATATATTTCCAATTAAAAATAAAAAAATCAATTTTGAGGATGTACATAGAAAATTAATAGCTATAAACTTAACTTTATTAAAAAATCATAGTAAGTATAAGCACCATAATCAAGAGGCTGAGAATGTCAAAATGGATAAAGGAAAGGCCCAACAATACACATTTAAATTTAGAAAATACAAATAGGGTTTTGTAAAAAGGCAAAGATAGCATGTGCTAACATAAACCAAAAGAAAGCCAGAGAACTTATATTTATGGCTTATAAATAGTTATCTAGAATGTGTGAAGCAAACACCAATAGAAGAAACAGAAATCTAACATTTATAATTCAGCTTTTGGATAATGTCACGAATTTTAGAATATAGAAAACCAGCAGAGACATAGAAGAGTTGAGCACCATCAACTAATTTGAGTTAATTGACATTCGGTAGAACACTCCACCCAACCTCAAAGAGCAGATGGTCTCATCATATACACAGAACGCCTAAGATGCAGCATAGTCTGGACCCAAAACCAAGCCTTGATAACACAATGGGGTCCCCAGGATCAGCATTCTCTAACAGTTACAGAATTAAGACTGAAATAAAAAATAGACAGATCACTGGGAAATTCCTACATATCTATAAAAGAAACACCACTTTTTGGTTTTGGATTTTTAAGACAGGGTTTCTCCGCGTAGCCCACCTGCCTCTGCTTCCCAAGTGCTGAGGTCAGTTATGAGCCTGTCTGAAACACATATTTTAAAATGACCTATAAATCAGAGTATAAATGAAAAGGAAATGAGAGAGAATTTTGAACAGAATGAAAGCAAGACCACAGGCTATTGATTGTGTGGGATGCCAGCAGAGCAGCTCACTGGTAAAATGAAGGTTTTTACCAGCAAAACAGGCTTAGAGTAATTACTTCAATTTCTACCTTAAGAAACTAATTAATGAAATTTAAAACAAGCATTAGAAAATAATAAGGATCAAAGTAGAGATAAGTGAAAAAAAGCTATAGGAAAGAAATTAACAAAAACAAGTGTTGGTTTATTGACAATTCTAACAATATCGATAAACCTCTAACCAGATTCATTAGGAGAAAAAAATATATGTACATATCAGTGTTAACACAGAGAGCAGAGTCATCACTTCGGACTCTAAAATATTAAAATGAAAATAAGGAGGGACAATCAACATTTTTTATAGCAAGCTTAAATGAAAGAGACAAAGTTTTCCAAGGGATAGAAACTACCTGAACTCACACAAGAATAAACGCCCTGGGCTGGGAGTGTGCCGATTGGGACTGGGGGTGGGCGGCTTGATGCTGGAGCACTTGCCTGGAATACATAAGGCTTTGGGTTCCATCCCCAGCACTGCCAAAATAAACAAATTATCCAAACCAAAAGTGTAGTTTAAAACATTTCCACAAAGAAAACTCTAGACCCAGATGGCTTCCAAGGAAGAAACAATATGGATTCTATAGTCACCTAGAGAAGGTTTTAAAATGATTGTGTAAATAGCAAAGCCCTGAAGTCTTTCTAATTTTTAGAGCTAATAAGCAGGTTTAAAACTTCCTGGCTATGAGGACAATGCAAAAACCAATTGTAGTTTTAAAACAATGCAACACCATGTTCTACCCACAGAACAGCTGGGCATCAGTGTGCACACCTGTAATCACAGCATTCAGGAGGCTGAGAAGACTGTGAGTTCCACAGCAACCTGGCCAAGAGCACTACCCCATCTCAAACTCCCAAACAAATTAATATTGAGCATTGGTAAGGAGTAGGAGGGTATCCAGACGCTCCACAATGCTGGGGGTAGGGGCTATATATCGGTGCAGTCATTTTTTTTTTTTTCAAACGGGAGCACTCTGACTCCCCTAAGTCTAGACCAATCAGAAGTGAGTATACATGTTCATTGAAATGCAGGTAGGGAAATGGTCACTGCAGTGCTATCCTCAAATAGTCCAAGCTGGAAAGGACCTCAACATGCCACTCTAAAATAGAAAAACAAGTTCTAGTGTGTTTCATGAAGAGGGAATTAACAAACAATGGAAATGAACCAAGCACTGTGCATGGAAGATGGGTGACTCTCACAAACATCTCCATGGCTCAACAAATCCAGTGGATGAGCTGACCTAAATCAGAATAAACACACACAGACCCTGTAAAAAGCCAGCATGGCCTCTGTCCCCATAGCTGAGCCCACTCGCCCACCTCCCATCCCCATCTTTCAATGACAGCTCCAATAAGGTTACCATATGTGAGGGAGGGGTTGAGAGAGAGAGAGAGAGAGAGAGAGAGAGAGAGAGAGAGAGAGGTGGTGAGAATATGGAGGTCAGAGGACAACTCAACTCGCAGGAATCAGCTCTCCTTACACCATGTGGGTCTCCAGTATCTAACTCAGGTCATTAGAGTTGGTGGCAAGCGTTTTTTTGTTTTTTTCTTTTTTTCTTTTTTCCCCACTGAGGCATCCTACCAGCCCATGTCTGTGCTGTTTAACGTCCTTAAAGTGAAACTATACATTTTGGAGGGGGAAGGGATAAGAATTCTCTCTTAGTCTGGGTACAGGGATCAGCTTACAGAATTCTGTGGGCAGTGGTGTACTTAGCACTTCAGGTGTACACACAATCCCTCGTGGGTGTTATGCTTCCACCCCAAAGTTCGTTCACAGAAACCAACAGCCCACGAGGTTAAACAGGACGCACACAACAAAACTGGAGGAGTTCATGACCATGCCAGAATGGTCCTTGGTAGGCAGGAGTGTGGGTTCTGGGGCCTCCTGATATCAGGGGCTGGTAGTAAGGCCACCCACAGCCCCCATCCCTGGTCTTTACGCCCACAACCTGCCCCCACGCACCTTGCAGCAGTTCCAACAGTCCTGCATGTTGATCCAGTAGTTCTTGTGGTTCCATAGGCTCTCGATGCCCAGGAAGTGATCATCCTTGGTGCTATAGCTGTGCGCTGTTAGCGGGTCGATGAAGAAGCTCTCAGGCACCTCACGCTTCCCTGCGAGCACCAGGACCCAGCAGTGCACCCGAAGGCCATGCAGGGGGTCGGGCTTTGCTTTCTCTTCCGCCTGTACAGGGAAGGTGGGTGATCACCAGGCAATGGGAATTCTCATCACCCCTCCTTGGAGCTTAAGGTTTCAACCAGTAAAATGGGATGGGCTGATCAGGTCTGTGATTCATTCTGTGGGGCGATAGTACCCGGGGTGATACTTCCTCCAAAGAAGGCGTTGCGTTCTACGGGTTAAGGAGCTCTTTGGAGTAATCATAAGAGACCTTATTGCCCTGGTATATTATCCCTTGGCCAGCCATGCCAGCGTGCAGGGCTGTTGAGACCCACCAGGAGGCGCTCTTCCGCCTCCCTGAGACGCTTCTCTTCCTGGTTCTTGATCTCCTGCAATCTCTTGTTCTCCTGCTCCTGCTCAAACTTGCTGGTCAGGTCCCTGGGAGGCTTGACGGTATACTTTTTAGGCATGGCCTTCTCTTCCTCCTTGACTACCTGTCACCCAACAAGAGAGGAAAGTCCAGCTCCTACCCACACCCTTCACAGGCTTAATGGGACCCGGGGCCTTCCCTGACAGAAGAGGGAGCTGTAGTATAGGGACGAGTGGGGGTGGGACAGGGGTCCTCCCTACAGATCTTCATAGGAAGAGCAATCTTATTGCCCCTACTGCCCAGGCTGACCTGGATTCTAGCCACAAGGTGAAGCAGATTGTCTGGGGTCAGCGTTTTCAGGGTTTATCCTTGGGAGGTTTCATACATTGACTCCAAGTTCAAGTTAAGTTTTCGGATCCAGGAAGGAAAAGAAAGACCCCCCCACACACACACACACATCTCTCTCTCTGCGTGTGTGTGTTTCTACATGTATATGAATGCACATGTTTTGCGCATATGTAAAAAATAATGATATGAGTTCCCAGGAAAGGAGCTGCAGAAGTGGGCGTGTGGCAGTAGAAGAAACGCAATCTCCAGTCTTGGCAATTACACCCAGGTTTCCATCCCTGGGTCTCCATCCTCCAAAACACGTTATCACATTTTGGTAGCTCCAAAATAGTTACCACAGTTGCTCTTTGACCATGCCATTTTATCTTTCTGTACACTAAGAATGTAACTCCAACTACACAGGGCTGTCATGAGTAGCCACTGAGTCAACCCATGACCACATTAAACCTGTCTGTCCTCCAGAAAGTTCTCTACCTTTGTTACTTACTGATATAAGTTTGATTCTTTGCATTGCAGCTGAGCAAGTAGGCCAAGAGGTGTGAGCTCAGAGGCCATTGAAGGAAAAGACACAGGCTAGCGTTTTCTCATCGCTGTGTGGTGGTTTGAATGAAACCTATGGCCTCATAGGTCCATAGGGAATGGTACTATTAGGAGGTGTGGCCTTGTTGGAGGAAGTGCGTCACTGGGGGTGGGCTTTGGGGCTTCAATGCTGAAGCCAGGCCCAGTGTCACTCTCTCTTCCTGCTGCCTGCCGATCAGGATTTGGAACTCTCGGCTCTTCTCCAACACTTTATCTCCCTGTGAGCCACCATGCTTCCTACCATGATAATAATGGACTAAACCTCTGAATCTGTAAGTCAGTCCCAACAATTGGTTTCCTTATTAAGAGTTGCCATGGTCATGGTGTCTCTTCATGCAATAGAAAACCTAACTAAGACACCTTGGTTGGGGAGTCAGGCCTGAGTGAACAAGGCTTTATCAGATGCAAGGGCAAGTGGGGAAGTGTGCAATATTAGATAAGGCTGGAACTGTGTGAGTCATAAATTTTGCCCAGTGAGAGCACAGTGTCTTAGACTGAGCTACGACAAGGCAGGAGGGACAGCAGTTTGGAGAACTGAGCTGCGGATGATGCTGAGGGCAGAGACATCTCCAAAGGTCTGAAATAGGGAGCCTGGAGCATACAGAGGATGCATGGTGATGGGGTGGGAACCCATAAGGATAAGGGCAGCCTGGATGGGGACCTGCTTCTCAAAGGCGGCTGGCTGGGCAGGGACTTAGTCTTCTAAGGTGAACAGGGTGGGGACATAGTCTTCATGTCCCTAAGGGTACCCAGGGCAGGGACACAGTTCTGACTCCTCTAAGGATGGTCAGGGCATGCCCAGATATTCCAAGATAGATGGGCAGCTCTGGGAGTTTGTGTGAGTAATCTGCCACGCATCAGGCTTACCTCTTTGACCTTTACGGTGAGTGGACACACTTCCCTTGTCAGGTCCATGAGGCACAGGTCCAGTGAGCCATAGCCATTGACGCAGTAGGCATCATATCCAGAACCAATGAGCATGGAGCAGAGCAGGGTGCTGAAGTCAAAGCAGTTCCCCTTCTGGCACTTGAGCACAGTGGTCGAGGAATACAGGTACTTGGGCTAAGTAGGGAACACTGGTCAGCTTGCCCAGACCTCTTGCCCCTCACCACCCGCCAGTAGGGGTGGGGGCGCTAATGCATCGGGAGCCACTTGAGGACAAGACACAAACAGACTCATGTCACCCACATGTGCCTGCCATTTTTAACTGGTGGCTCTCCTCCAATGCTCTCCCCTCCTCCATCCTTCTCATCCTTCTGTCAGCACTGGGCTATTCACCCTTCTTTCCTGTCTCCTTCCATTCTCAATGGAAAGCTGATTGAACTTTCAGAAGCCTAAAGATGGGACTGAAGGCTATAGGCAGCTTGATACCCCCCAGCTCTTTTGTACCTCCACCAGACCAGAGACCAGGCTTGCTGTGTATCCTCAGGCCAGTGGTTGCCTCTCTGTGCCTTCCCTCTTACAGGTGTCTCAGAAACTTCTATCACCTGGCTTGCCTTAAGTCTCCAGGGCTTACCCCATGCAAGCAGGAAGTAGCACTTACTGGCTTGAGAGGGTCAAGCAGGGGAACCATGGTGAGGAAGTCAGACACAAACTGGGAGCAGCTGTCCCAGTTGTAGAGTTCTGGATAGGGCATCAGTGTAGGCCTCAGGGTGGTGCTCACGAACTTCTGAAAATGAGAGATCACGCCAGGGACCATGTGTAGCAGGGACCTGTGAGCATCCATGCCTGGTTGGCCCAACCTTCTTCCTTGACTTCTCAGGGGGACCCTGAAGAGGCCCAGCTCATAGGCCTCAGGGTCATGGAGTAGCCCCTTGCCGGAAGGTCGGGCATTGGCCAGTGTAGGTGACAATGGCTGAGAGGCACCTATTCACATCACTCCATGAGGGCATTACTAGTTTATTCTGGATCTGAGCTGGAAGTACTGGGAAAAAGCCCTTCTTCCTAAGCTCAGAAAGGCCAGGTGAATTGCCTAAGGTCACCCAGTAAGAGGGCTAAAGGAGATAGATCTTCAACCAGGTTGAGGCCCTTGTGGAGCCTATAGAGGTTCTGAGCAGGGGGATCTGGTGACCATGGTGGCCTGTAGTGTCAGGTGACAGCCCCTCAAGGGAAGGGCAAAGAAACAGAACAAAGTGGGGTAAGAGCAGGCCCTAAAACCGGGCACCGGTTCCCTGCTTCCCGCCACATGACAGCAGGCACCTCCCTGAGCTTCTCTGGGCCTCAGTTCTCCTCAGCTATGCCTGTCCTGCACACAGGAGACTCCATTCAGACATGTGAGGTTTCCTAGCATGTGTTAGTACTCAGAGCTGAAAGTCACAGCTTGCTCAAGGCTAGCCTGGGCTACATAGTAAGACGCCTTAACTCAAGACTAAGAAGAAGGCTGGGGATGTAGCTCAGTGGCATGGTGCTAGCCTACCATATGTCAGGCCCTAGGCTCACCCCCAGCTTTCAGTTCAGAGCCCAGGCTTGCATTCCCCTGCAGTCATCTCCTCCAGCTACTGATAGGCCAGAGCTTTCTGTTCCACAGGAGAGGTGACCCAGACAGTGGAGAGCCTTGTACCCAGCTCCACCCTCTGCTCCTGCTCTGGCCCTGCCCTCCAAGCCCCAGGCTTACAGGCACGTTGCACTCATTTAACGGGCACAAGAAGAGAGGCACACGGTCTGGGCACAGGTGGCTGTACTGGCGAGAGAAGTTATCTGCCACTTGCAGCAGGTGCTCCTCCTTGGGTGAGTTGGTACTGTAGGAAGGAGGCAGCTTGGTGACATCAATGAGGGACTTGTTTATGAACCTGTGTTCCAGTTGGGATGAAAAAATTCTGAGTGAGACCGTGCTCGGCACCTCAGGAACCCCAAAACTGACTTTGGCTTTTCTTCATTTAATCCTCACAGAGACTACACAGAGACAGTATCACTATTCACACTTCCACTTTCACACAGATAGCGCGGAATGGAGGACAGGTGAGCAGTCTGGAAGCAGACCCTCAAACAGAGCCAGCCCAGGTGCCACTGTTCTGCCTTGGTACTTCCCTTGCCTGGTCCTTTCTAACTGGTCCAGGGCTGCTGGGTGGGCAGGCCCAGTCTTGACACTCACGAGTATTCAGCTGGGATGGAGATCTCAATAGATGTTAGCCTCTTCTCCAAGTCTCGGAGCTCATCCTGTGTCATGATAGTTTCCTCTTTGCTCACTTCAGCTGTCTTCGTCATCCTCTCCATCTTTTCAGCCCATTCTGCCCGTTCAGCAGCTTCCTCACGCTCAGCTGCCTCCTCCTCCTCTACCTTCTCTCTAAGTACCTCCATCCTGATATCTCTGGATAGCTAGAGATGAATATCTCTGTAGGGAAAAGCAGATATGCTCAGAATGGCCATGGTCAGCCAGAAAGAAGTCAAAGAGACCACCTCTGCATGCAGAGGGCCTGGGCATGCTTTCCCTCCACCTCTGCATGCAGAGGGACCTGGGGATGCTTGCCCTCCACCTGTGCATGCTGAGGGTCTGGGGATGCTTTTCCTCCATCTGTGCTTGCTGAGGGTCTGGGGATGCTTTCTCTCCACCTGATCATGCTGAGGGTCTGGGGATGCTTTCTCTCCACCTGATCATGCTGAGGGTCTGGGGATGCTTTCCCTCCACCAGTGCATGCTGAGGGCCTAGGGATGCTTGCCCCCCACATGTGCATGCCAGGGACCTGGGGATGCTTTCTCTCATAGAGGAGGAACAGTGTCCCTTGGAAGCATCCTCTCCACCAGGAAGGAAGTCTCCATTTGGTGCTATCCCATCTCTAACACCTTCTAATACAAATCTCCCTTAGAACAAAGACAAGGAGCTGGACATGGTGATATGTGACTATAATCACAGCATTTGAGATGATGAAGCAGGAGGACTTTAAATTCCAGACTAGCCTGGGCTACATAGCCAAGCCCCTTCTTCAAAACCTCTCACTAAGATTCACTGTCACCAACCCAAAGGTCTGCCCCTTTGCACACCACAGAGCCCCAGGCTTGAACTGGGGCAGCAATGTGCCAGGTTTGAAGTGTTCCACTTCCTGGACTCTCTGGCAATGAGGTATTGGTGGGGACATGACCCAGTTCTGGCCAGTAATGTGCGAGAAGAGAGGACATTAGAGGGCAGAGAGCAGCAAGTACGCATCCTTGGTTCTAGGTCCATTTTATGCTTGGGACATTGACACCAAGCGGGAGGTGGGGAAGCCATTGGTAAGGGCCACCTGGGAGTACCCCAGCTGCTTGCTAAGGACAAGAGCGGAGTAAGAGAGCCAGGTTCCCAGGTACTAGGCCTTGAGCCTAGTACCACCCTCTCAGACTTGCAACTTATTTAAAAACTTGGTTTCTCTACTTGGTTTCTGCTCCATGTCACCCAACATCATTCTGCCTGTCTGTCTGTCCTCTGCCTTGTAGCTCAGGCCTCTCCTCCACCCATCTTTCAGAGCAACTCTCAGTAGAACAGAAACCCCACCCACTAGAAGTGATGCAGGCAGTAAGGCTAAGAGAGGAAGGGATCCAGACTTGTTCTCAGCTCCAAGAGAGGAGTCAGACTAAGGAGCAAAGGGGACCAGGCAGGTGGGCTGGGACATGGCTGAGTGGTGGTGTGCTTGCCCAGTGTGCATGAGGCCCTGGGTTCCATCTCCACTGGAAAATAAGGAGTAGAGTGAAGGCTGGCCCTGTCTTCCCACTCTACCCCTACTCAGATGCCCCAAACTCTTGAAGAGGAAGGCATGGGGGGGGGGGCAAGCCAGACTGAGTCACAGGGAGAGGTGGGGGAGGTGTATTTGCTATTCGTTTTGGCTCAACTAGCATCTCCTAATGAGGTTCGCAGGCCACTCCTCACTCCTTTCTGGCCCCCATTTCCCCTCCTGCAATGTGGAGGGGGAGCGAGTATTCTGTGCTCTATGACTTTGGGAGGGCTGGGTGCCTATGACTAGATGTCAGTCTTCCTGGGTCCCAGCTAAGGCCTTGGGTCCAGCAGGTCCATTCAGGACTCCTGTCCCTGGGGACAGACCTCCAGCCAAGCAGCATGGTCTGGTTATCAAAACCCCTTGCCTGCCTCTTGGGCACAGGGGAGATAACCAAGGAGGGTTATCTTCTAAGGCATTCACAGCTCACTAGGTACCTACTGTGTGCCAAGCCCTGGGGCTATACAAAAATGACACCATGTATCTTAAGTGACTCTGATGCAGTTAGTCCTCTGAGACCCACTCTACAAGTGAGAATACTGAGGACTGGAGAGTCTAAGAGAGTCGTCCAAGCATGGCTAACAGGGGACAGATCTTTGACTGGAACCCATGTATTAAGATAGGGGAGCCACAGACATGAAGGCAGTGGGGAATGGGGAGCAAGGAAAGAAACATGACAGAAAGAAGGTCGCAGTGGGCAGTCCAGTTCCAGCCGGGGCTCATGGTCACAGGCTGGGTCGTCAGAGTGGACGGGGGTCCAGACCTGCAACACTACTCCTCATGCAGGCTACTTCCTCAGCTACTGACTTATCCATAGTGTCCTCCTGGAGCCTCTTCCCAGCAGCAACTTCCCCTCCCCACAAAACAGACTGCCCCCCAAACTTTCCTCAGACAGGCCAGGGCTGGAAGACCCCAAGAAGTACTCTGTGACTCCCCCCACGCCCACCTCCCCGTTCCTCCTCCCTGTCTTAAGTAGATCAAGCCATCCCCACTTCCCAGCTCCCTCCTTACCCTCCAAGAAGTCTTACTTATCTGTTAGTTGTCTCCATGGTAACAACAGAGGGCAGACCCTGGGAGAGGAGGCTTCTGGGAAATGTAGTTTCCTGCAATTGCCCTGGGTCCAGCTTTCCAACCAGGGATGTCAGAGCAAGAGCTTATAAAGCTCAAGGTGGATTATTAACACCATGGGGATTGGAAATGGCTATAGACCAAGGCTCCTCTTGGGAAGCAAACATCTAAACACTGTTGCTACCTCTGCCCTGCCACAGGAGAGGTAGCCTTCACCAAGACATCTGGAAGCCAGTGTGGGATCTAGGGAAGCAGGCTGGTCGACTCTGTGCTTTAGGCTAACCTGGGCCTCTTAGTGTAGTAGTGTAGTCTAGGAGGCATTCTGGTGGGTGTAGAAACTGATCTGTTAGATTAGTGGCTCAGTTTCTTCTAAACATCTAAAGAGGAACTGAGCATGTTACTCAATGGTAGAACACTTACCTCAGCAATGGAAGGCCATGAATTTGCTCTGAAGTAACGCACACACACACACACACACACACACACACCCTTTCACTCCCATACACGCACTCATTTACTTTCCATTGCTCTCAAAAAATCCTGCAAACAAGACAACTTATAGAAGAGTCTATTTGGGATTAGAGTTTCAGAGGGTTAGAGAGCCCCAGGCTGATGCAGTGCAGGGGTGGTTTCCTGAGACACCAAGTGACAAGACAGTTTTCTAAACATGTTAGAACTTGTTTTGTAGGCAGCTAAATTCCTTAAACTCTCATCTACCCCCTTCTTGTAGACACGCTTGGCAGAACATGCTCACAGTTCTGGAAATTTACAGGCTGACCATCTGTGGGCCAAGACCTGAGGTGGCAAAGGACATCACATTCCAAGAGACAGGGAACATGTGTGTATCCAAGAATATGGAGGTCAGAGGACAACCTGGGGTGCTGGGCCTCATCTGCTACCCTGTTGGAGGCAGGGCCTTCTTGTTCGCCTCTGCACTGTGCTGTATACACTAGCTTACTGGCTTACAAGCTCCTCCAGGAAGTTCTATCTGGTGCTCAGGAAGGGAAGGTAGGAGGCTCAGAGTTAAAGGTCAGCTTGAGCTACATGGGCCCTTTCTCAAACAAAACAGAACAAGTAACAGTAAAAAGAAAACTGTTAATTTAGGGAGTCAGAGAGATGGCTCATTAGTTAAGAGCTCTTACTGTTGGTGACTCACAAAGATGGGTTAATTCCAGTTCCTGGGGAGCCAGCTCCCCCTTCTGACCTCCATGGGTTCCTGCATACACTTGGACACATAAAGTAAAGTAAATACATATTTTTAATGTGTTAATTTAAATCAGTGAAGATATGGAGATTAGAGAAAAGGTGACTGAAACAAACTGTCCACCAGGGTAAGAGATTAGTTAACACCTCAGATAGCATGCAGCTGGTTTCTGAAGGGAGTTCCCCCAGACAAAGGGGGCTCCCCCACTCTTAGAGGAGCCTGGTCCACATCATGTGGTTAATATGTTAGCCATATGCCAGGTTACCTCTGGTTCCTAGGCTGCAAGAGAAGGGGGACAGATTCGATCCTTTATTTTCATTTTATTTTTATCTTTAATGCATTCATTTATTGAGGGGTAGGAGGCACATGTTTGAGGTCAGAGGACAATTTGTGGGAGTCCATTCTCTCTTTCCACCATGTGGATAGTCTGGTTATTGGAGCTCTCCTATAGCTGAACCTGGGGGGAGGGAGGCTACACAGAGCATGGCCTGATCTATGAGACACCAAGCCCCTATCTCAGGAAAATCAGCACAGATCATAATTTGGATTGCTTTGTTAATTTGGGAAGAATTTCATATCTTTGAATGTTAAGTTACTTAATGAGAGCATAGAGCAAATGCGCCTGTTTCTGCATGTTTGCTATAGGGTAATAAGCTTTAAAAGATGGCCATGAAGGGCCCAGGCATTCCACATGCTCTTGAAAGTTGGGATTGCATACATGTGCTTTCCTGACTCCAGGAATGGTCCTGGGAGGAGCTGGTACCCCAGAAGGTGCTACCCTGGCTTCATCCCAGTCTGTGGAGGGGCTTTGAGTGGACAGGCTGCTGTCCCTCTCAGATTCAATTTCCACACCCCAGCATCCTTGGCCAGTCTTTTTTTTTTAGACTTATTTACTTATTTTTATTACATATACAGTGTTCTGTCTGCATATTTGCTTGCATGACAGAAGAGGGCACCACATCTCACGATAGATGGTGTGAGCCACCATGTGGTTGCTGGGAATTGAACTCAGCACCTCTAGAAGAACAGTCAGTGCTCTCAACCTCTGAGCCATCTCTCCAGCCCCAGTCTTTCTTTTTACTATTACTATTATTATTTTATTTTTCTCAAGACAGGGTTTCTCTGTATAACCCTGACTGTCCTGGAACTAGCTCTGTAAACCAGGCTGACCTCAAACTCAATGAGATTCCCCTGCCTCTGCCTCCTGAGTGCTGGGATTAAAGACATGCATCACCATTGCCCTGTGACCAGTCAATCTTTAAGTAGGGTAGAGGCGGGGAGGGAGGGTTACTAGGAATCAGGGCTGGCAATTTGTTTTCACCACATCCTTTTAATCCTCTCAAGACAGGGAGGGAACTCTGTAATACCTATTTTAGGCTGAGACTCTGGATCCCAACTTGATGATGAAGGCTAGGCAGTTCCTAGAGAGTTGATGCTCTTCAGTCTACTTTGGATTCCCAAAGAAACTGGTCCTAGCATTGCTAAATAATGCCGCAGCAACAGGATGAATGAATTTGCCAGGGAGAGTGGGGGAAAACACGCAAAAAGCCAACTTTCTTTCTTCCTTGTCCTTTAATCTGGAACCAGAAGGTGCCACTCACTTAGGGTGGGTCTCCCTGCTTCAACTAATGTGACCTAGAAAATCCCGTACAGGTTGATTTTGTTGATTGCAGATGCAGTCAGCAATAAAGACTGGCCTTCCTTCCCCCACACCTCTATTATTATTTCCTTTGTTTTTTGTTTGTTTTGAGACAGGGTTTCTCTGTGGCTTTGAAGGTTGTCCTGGAACTGGCTTTGTAGACCAGGCTGGTCTCGAACTCACAGAGATCTGCCTGCCTCTGCCTCCCAAGTGCTGGGATTAAAGGCGTGCCACACCAACACCCAGCTCTATTTCCTCTGTTTTTTGAGGCAAAGTCTCACTATGTATACTAAGCTAGCCTTGAATTTACGATGATCCTGCCATTGCCTCCTGAGTGCTGGGATTACAGGGCTAATGATTTCTGTTGTGTTTTGCTTCTCATCGAGGCCAGAGAAAGAGGAGTTAAGGAGATGTGGGAGGGAAAGAGCCCCTCACCCTGGAGTCTGATCGAAGAGTCTTGACAGCTGAGAGTCAAGCATTCCAGCACAAGGAACATTTGCTGTGAAGGCTGCCGGCCCACACAAAACAGTTACTCTCTTCACAGAGAGAGGTCGAAGAATGTTAACCTAGCAACGAACTGTGCTCCAGGCCTGAACATATATGGTGGTTTTCCTTCCCCAGCTAGAAATCTGCAGCTTTCTAGGAACCCCATTTGAAGTGACAGACACATCTTTACCTTGTACAGTCTGTGACCCACGGTTTTATCTGATCAGATAACAGTCCTACAAGGCATCTCTGGAGAAACTGTATAATAGCATTTATTCAAAGGAAGAAGAAAAGGAAGCTCCTCACCAAGAGCTTGAGTTGTAATTTGAGAGCCACTCAAATCACACATGTATTGATGGCAGCTCTTAGGACACTGAAGCCAGAGGCTCCTTGAAGAGCCACACTCACGAACTCAGGTGTGTCCTAATCCTTCCCCGAGCGACTATTCTTCTAGCTCCAAGCTTAAATCTACATTTAAAATCTCTCCCTCTCTCCCTCCCCTCTCAAAATATGCTTCACATTGTCTCTACAGAAATTCCTTTCTTCCACAAAGTCAAGGATAAGGGAGCTCCCCAGGCTGCAGATGGCAGTGCTGGCCCATGTCTCCTTCAAGACTGCTGAAGCTACAGAAGAAAGCTGCTCACTCGCTCGTGGTTGAGGAATGAAAGAAACCCAAGGCACCGAAAGCATCATGCTTTAACCTGAGTCCTGCCTGAGGCAACCACTTCTGGGGGAGGGGAGCCCTGTCAGGTTAATGTGAACACACACATCCATTTGCTCAGCCAATGAGTGTTTGTTTATTGAAATATGTGTGACAATTATTCTACTTAACATGGCCAGGCCTGATGCTCAGGCTGGGTAGAAATGGTGGGCTGTTCAGGTCCCTGCTTATAGGACTACAGACATTGTAGGAAGAGTTGCCTTTTCTCCCTTGTCCCCCTGGACTACATGCACTGATGTGGATGGAGCAGGCATGCTCCCAGTTCTGGACCTCGGCTTCTGCCCCAACAAGGACAGCAGATCAGAGCCAGACCTCACAGTTGGCAGTCAAGTGAGGTGGGTGGGGGTGTTCCTTGAAGCTCACTGAGTGGCATTCTTTGAGAGTGTCCTGGGCACCTAGAAGGACCTCAACCTTCAATGCTGCATTAATTGCAATTAGAATGAACCCCACCTAGGGAGCAAAGATGAGGTTAGAGTAGGTAGAAGATCATCAAAGACCCCAAAGAAACCTCCAGTCTTCTGCACCTCCCCCCCCCACCCCCCGAACATATAGAACAATAGTCTGTGAATGACTCTGGGGTTGGGGAGAGGCAGCTATAAGGTGGGATTGTAGGGGAAGTGACGGGGGAAAGGCTGGTGTTTCTTCCAGGGGTTTCACTAAGTTTCCCCTCTTTGGCTCAGGCTCCTAATGAGATGAGAGGTGGTCCATGGCTAAAAACAGCTGTTTAGCTGTGGACATGTTTCCATAGCAGCAGGGGTAAAGATGACACTCTGTTGGGGGTGGTGTCTCAGGCTAATAGGGTTTTTGGTCTCCCACAAATTTGCTTCTGTAGCTCTTTGGACCCATGAACATATCTGAACGGGAGCTTTTCAAAATGTTTTTTTTTAATTTCTATTTTATGTGTATGAGTGTTTCCCCCACAATGTGTATATACAACACCTTCTGAGCCCTTGGAGGCCAGAAGAGGGTGTCAGATCCCCTGGAACGATAGTTAGAGACAGCTGTGAGCCTACATGTGGGTGCTGAGAACTGAACCAGTGTCCTCTTCAAGCGATCAATCTATCCACCTCTCTGAGTGGGAGCTTTGGAGCCATATGGTTCAGCCTGGTCTCCATCCTCTCTCCCTCCTCAGACACCCTGTATAGAGATGGCAATGGAACACAGAAGGAAGTAGGAAGTTGTCCGAGATCACACAATCCATCTGGAGGTGAGAATGACCTGCAGCCGCCTACTCCTGTGAGACGGAATGGACCTGGTCCAGGCGGGCAGTGCCTGAGGAGGAGGCTGTGGTGCTCTGCCTCGGGAAGTAGAGGGTGATGAACCAGCAGAAGATGAAGACGCCTGTGGTGAAGAGAGGGTTTCAGTGAGCCTGGAACAGGCTGCAACACAGAAGGGGTTCCATTCTAAACATTCAAGCGCTTAATGAAAGAATTAGGTAAAAGTGAAACCTATTCCTGAAAGAGAGCCAAATAAAAACCTTAGAGACCACAAACATTGGCCTTGAAATAAATTACACACATGTCCACCACAGAAAATGAAGATGTATTTTTAGATATATAAAACTATATTGCTACTACCGCACTGGGCTCCCCTATAGTCCTGCTGTAAAGTACTACTACTGTACAAACCGTGTGTTTAAAAAGGAATTTATAATGAAAACTGTACAATCGAGAAGTTAAAAGGTACCAAGGGCTCTGCTGGAAGAGGAAGATGGGAATACCGAATAATTTAGACTCATCAGAGTGAGGCATTCAGGCTTCAATATTAAGGTAGCTCATGCAAGAGCAGTGATATCAGCTGGGCAGTGGTGGTGCATGCCTTTAATCCCAGCACTCAGGAGGCAGAGGCAGGCAGATCTCTGTGAATCTGAGGTCAACCTGGTCTACCAAGTGAGTTTCAGGTCAGCCAGAGCTGTTACACACAGAGAAACCCTGTCTTCAAAACAAAACAAACAAAAAAGAATAATGATGTTATCTCTAACTTCAAGATGCCTTTCTCCCCAATTCCAAACCTCCAGGATTTTCCAAATGTGAACTAATAATTATTTATCTGGTAGTAGCTCAGATGGCCCTAAAGCAATTGTGTGTGTGTGTGTGTGTGTGTGTGTGTGTGTGTGTGTGTCTGTATATCATTTTTTAAGATTTATTTTTATATGTATGTTTTGCCTGCGTGTATGTATATGAACCAAGTATCTGTAGAAGCCAAAGAGGGTATCAAATTCACTGGAACTGGAATTACAGATGGATGTGAACCTCCCATTTGGGTATTGGTAAATGAGCTTGGGTTCTCTGAGAGCAGTAAGTGCTTTTGCCCACTGAGCCATCTCTCCAGCTCATTATTTATTTATTTTTTTAGTTAACATACAAAAAGTAGATTTTACTGTAACATTTTCTTTTCTTTAAAGATTTGTTTTCATTTTATACACATGAATGTTTTTGCCATCATCTAAGTGCATTTGCAGGTGTGCCTAGTGCCAAAAGAAGGCACTGAATCCCTTGGAACTGGAGTTACAGATGGCTGTGAGCTCCATGTGGGTGCTGAGAGCCCAGCCTGGGTTCTCTGAAGCAAATGCACTCAACCACTGGGCCATCTCTCCAGGTACTCACTGTGGCATTTTCATACACAATTTGTTTTGGTTGGTCTCCCTCTCCACTTCTCTGTCTCCCAGCTTGTTGTACCCTTCCACCCCAGCAGGCACTGTCCACTTTCCTGTGTCCTATGTATTACACCACTTTCTCCCATCCTCTTCCTTTGAACCTTTTTCCTTCCCATGGTCCCTTTCTAGTTTAATGACCTTTGCCCACACCCCACGTACATATATGTATAAAACTTAAAGCTAGGACCTTCATGTGAGAGTGTCTGTGGTGCTTGATTTCTACCGCAGCCAATATAGTGCCTGTAAAGATTAGAGGTTTCTTGGCTAAAGGCACGGATCTTCACCTGGGCCAACAGATGCCCAAATGTAACTAAAAGCAGGGTAAAAGTCTGGCATGTCTCCCCTTCGCTACCTCAACCTGGGTCAGAGTGGCTTCAGCTATGCCCATAGACATGCTCAACATTTAAGGAGTGTTTGTCTGAAGTGGTGATCCTTCCTCAAGGCTGATGTGAGCAGTAGATTATTAACCTACAGTTTTTGCAGGGTCCTGTTCCTGGGAGCGGTGCTGGTCTTCTACAGTCACTGGCCGACACATGACGACCTAACACACCCACCTCGCCTTTCTGATCTGTCCTTTTTCTGAGTCTTCTCATCCTGTAGTCACCTTGGATTCCTGGAACAGCGGCTCTAACAAATGAACATCTTCTGACAAAAGCTGAAGCTACCCCAAGGCGGGAGCCACTTTCTTATTGCAGACAGTGCCCTGGGTAACTGTCCTAAGATAATGATTAACTAGGTCCTAGCCGTGCATGCTGCTTGCCCTGTCTTTTGTTCCTTCCCTGTATAATGCTAAGATTGGCATCACCCTGGAGTCAGGGCAGAAGATGCTGTTTCTCCTGCTCCTCCAGGATAGGTATTCTCAGTGTGCCTCTTCTCTATTTCAGCTGATTGACTGAGCAAGTGCTATGTGTGCTCTCCAGAGGGAGCCAGGCCTTTGGCTTGGGACTCTGGTGATATGCCAGTGTGTTGAAGATCTCCTGGGTCCCCTACATGCACTTACTCATCACAAAACATGGGGTGAGGGAGGGACAAGGCCTGTTCTGACACAGAGATGAATGAGGATCAGAAGTACTGACTGTGTGGTTGGATGGTGGGGCAATAAGTAGTTAACATTGACTGTCACCTTGACAGGATCTATGAGACAAGCCTCTAGGTGTTTCTGTGAGGGAGTTTCTAGATCAGGTTAATCCAGGTGGGAAGACCCACCCTAAAGTAAGGGGCACCATTCCTAGTCTAGTACACCTAGGTCTGGTGACATGGGTTAGTGGGTTAAGGAATTTGCCAGAAAACCTGACATGAGTTCAATTCCTGGGACCCACTTGGTGGAGGGAGAGAACCGACTTCCACAGGTTGTCCTCTGACCTCCACACATGCATGCATACATGGACAAACAACTAAATCAACATAATTTTAAAAATTAAAAGGAGAGAGAGCTGAGAGCCAGCCCCTGCCTGTCTCTCTTCCATTTCCTGATACAGGTACGATGTGACCAGCTCCATCATGCCTTCCCCATCGTAGCGGACTGCACTCTTGAAATGTGAGCCAGGATAACTAGTACATTAAAAGTTTCTTTAGGATTCTATGTCCTGTCACATCAAATCACATAACCTTGTCTTCCTAGTTAGGACTGGTTAGAACTAGAGCTAGTCATCTGACTCAGAGCCCAGAGGCTTGACGCAGCTATGTTAGGCAGCCATTTTGAAAGCAGAGAGAGCAGTTGCCACAAAGGCTAGACAGGAGACAATACTCAGCTGCAGAACAGAAAGGGGAGAATCTGCTTTGATTTATGTGGCCCCTGTGACACCAGCCACCCTTGCTGCTTAGGATCCCATAAGAGTCTTGGATATCTAAAATCAGCGCCTTTGACTTGAGCTAGCTTCTGTGGGCTCCTGTGTCCTAGAAAGTACCCTCCCTGACCGCCAGGTCCCCCTGGTGCTGATGAGACAGCCTGTGGCCTCCCTGGAGCCTCACCTTGCAGTGAATTAAAGAGGGTGAAGATGTAGATGGTGGACAAGCCCAGGGGTGTGAGAACAGCCAGCCCCCAGGTCATGCCCACAAGGCTGGAGAGGCCCAGAATAGTGAAGACCGACTTCCAGGTCTGCCCCTGTTCTTTGCCTGCTGTGACACTGGGCAGAGTGAAGATCTTCCAGGCCACCAGAGCCAGCACCACAGCTCCAAAGAGGAAGCTGACAAGGAAGTAGCCATGGACAGTAGCATAAAGGGCAGGCTCTTTCTGGAACCAGCACCTGGAGGAGGAGGATAGCCGCTGGGGCTGGTGGGATAACCTTGACCATTGAGCCCCAGGGAGTTTCCTTGTCTAATCCCCAGTGACCAAGAAGATGCCCCCGACCCCCCACTGCCTCTGGCTTTCCTGGGCTTCCTCCCTTATTTCACTTTCTGACTCCAGACTTCCATTTACCTCCTGTGTCACAAGCCAGCTGGATCTGACTGTCCTTAACATTTCTGTTCTCCTCCTAAGGCCACCTCCCCTTCCTCTCTCCCTCCCATGAAACCAGAGGCCTCCATACCCTCTTCTCCCCATAACCCCACTCACAGTTCCAGTGAGGTGCGGTTCTCCTGGTTGCGGATGGAGAGGATACCATAACTGTTGCTACTCCCAACACCAATAACCACAAGAGCAGGCAGGCCTGGGGACAGGGGGCGGAGGGGGGAGAAGGGGCCATCACCAGTGTTCCCTTGGGTGAGCTCGTCTCCAGGCTCTGCAGCCATCCACCCCTCAAGTTTTGGGCTTCCCTAGGCTCCACCTCCTCAGCCCTCCAACCTCCCTTGTACCCCTCCAGCCCATGCATACCCCAGCCCAGCAGGCTCAGCTTCAGGAAATAGTGTCCAAAGTAGGTATTGAAGACCCTGATGGCCAGCAGGTAGAGGTGGAAGGCCTCCAGGCCCATCCAGGTGAAGACACACAGCAGGAAGTAGTGGAAGATGGCAGCTCTGGCCCAGCAGGAAGCTGGGGAGCCTTGAGGGCTGCTCCCCACATTGATCAAGAAGGTAAGATTCAGGAGAAACAGGCTGCTGCTCAGAGCTATATGGATCTTAGGGGCGTCTTCAGACTTGAACCTCTGCAGAGAGAGCCTGGGAAAGAAGGACCAGGGAACAACCTCAAGGAGCCACAGCTTGCATGTGGTGCCCAGATTGGTCTATCCCCCTGCCCGTTCCCTGCCACAGCCAGCTGCTACCATCCTCATGGCCAGCTCCTGTCTGACCATTCAGTTTCCACCTTTGCCAGTGGTTAGAATGCAAGCACTTTTAGGTTCAAATCCATGAGCCCTTTCATGGCTCTGTGGACTGTGTGGGTGCTGGGTCCTGCCAGCCTCACCCTTTGACACCTTCCTTGGTTAAACCATGGATCCTGCGACAATAACAGAGTTTGTTTTCTCATGTCTCCCAGCTTGGCCATGCAGGCATTTTCCAGCAGCATAGTGAAATTCTCTGCCACCCCTTGCCACAAGGGGTCCACCCATGCTGGCCTCAGGGCCCTGCACAGTGGGCAGGAGGGCTCTGGGTATGTTAGTTGGGTGAGTGGATGTGGATATGGGCAAATGGATGAGGCCTAGAACATAGCAGTAAGCGAGGCTCAGAGAGGGTCAGAGAATTGCTTGGGGTTCCAGAGTCTCCATCCAGTACTCCCTGCTTCCTGTGGGGCTTCTCTCCACTCTAAATTCCTAGCAAATGAAGCTCAGAAGGGCTCCTAACCAAGAAACAGAGCCTAGATTTTTCTGGAGTGGAGATAAGAGGCTAGGTCTACCTGAGCTGCTAGGCTCCAGTATTGGGAGCTGGCATCAGTTTCTTCTAGTACTCCAAGCTCAGCTCCCTGAGGATGGGACTGTGTTCTATACCAATACTTGCAGGGGTGGGAAAGGAAGGGTGCATGGGTGTAGCTCACAGGGGCTGAAGCCCAGGCCTGCTTGGTGACTGAGGCACAGAGGCACATGAGAAGGACAGTAGGGATCCTGGACTGAAAAGATGGGAAGCCCAAAGGATGTTCCAGGTGGGTTCTGTGAGGTTGGCCTCCAGGAGCTGGGGTTAGGGAAGGATGGGAGAGGCTTATTCCACAGGCAGCAGGTATGAGGGGTTCTTGGCCAGAGCCTGACTGTCCCTTGTGTCTGTCCCCATGCCTGTTCCTTGCTGGGGAAGTTCTGTGTTCCTGAAGGGTCACTCTTCTCCTCCTTCAGCCATAAGGAACTAGGAAAGTGGTGGCTAGTACCTTGTCAGTTAAATACAAGAGTAGCCAAATGGCTTGGCTGGCCTGTGTGTTCTATCCTGTGACCATAGTGACCCAATAAGTCATTGACCTGTGATCAAAGTCAGACCCTAAAACAACTAGGTATTCGTGAGATAAACATGCACACACATAGAACATCCAGTATCTCAGGAGTGTGACTCCTAGAGTCCTGTGCCTACAGGGACCACATGCCTGGCTAATGCTCAACCTTCTGCTGCAATTATGAATACTCAGAACACTGGGCCATGTAGTTTCATTTAGACAGGGGCTTGCCAATCATATCCCCATCCCTGTGTGGATGTGGGCACACACAAATACACATGCACTCTCTCTTTCTCTCTCTCTCTCTCTTACACACACACACACACACACAC